TGTATGCAGTGTATTATTTGTTGAAACTGTACTTTCGATTTGATTTGAAACTGTCTCATTGCTATATGTTTATCAATAAAACTTTGAAAAGAAAAAAAAAGATATATGTACAGAATTTATATAGTGGTTCTTCTTAAATATAAATTTAATGACTTTTCAGCATTTCTGATGAAGTGGTGACTTGTAATTGCTGCTTTTGCAATATTTATTCAGAGGCTAGAAAACTGAAACTACATAATGGTGCTGTGTGTGTGCTCATAAAATTTATAAATAACTTTATAAGTAGTTTATTTTCTTCACACATGATTACTTCTATGACTACTCCTGATTAATATTTATTAAGAATACAGATATTTGGTGACAGTCATATTTGCACCATGACAGCTATAATATTAAATTAGAAATGATATTTTAAATAACAGACTACAGACATCATGCAAAGTAAACCCCTATACACAAGGAGAAATTAGGATGATGCCAACACATTTTCTCTATATTTTTGTAAGTTTACAAGAAAAGTAGAATTTTAATCTCTCTCAAATTTGAATTCCTTATCTTTAAAATGAACAAAGTAATTTCTTCCAAATCAAAGACTATGTCAATGATTAACATAAAGAATAGAATAAAATAAAGAACGAGTACCTAGCTTAGTCCTTGCTTCATGACAGGCTTTCATTTCCTATATGTTTTTTAATTTAAAAGATGGAATATAATGATAATTAATCCTGTGTAAAATATAACCGATAATATTCATTTGACTAGATTACAAAGGGATTTAATAAAGTAAAAACTTATGATTAAGTTAAGTTGAAAAATCCTCATGTGATCTTTAGTTATGCATTTTATTCTAATTGTAAAACAATAATTGTGATTACTACTTATGAAGAAAAACAAAGAATAATTCTGTATTCAAGCTATTCTTACCTTAAAACAATAGAAATCACTTATGTGATGGAGCAACTGAAATAAATGAAATGAGAGACTGTCATTGCCAGTTTAAATAACTCTAAATAACAATTATTAAAAGGATGATTTTTAGTGCATCTATCTTTTTACATTTTAATAATCTTTGAGATACATATATGTATATATATATATATACACTATGTATAGTATATACTACAATATATATGCAGTATATATACATTCATACTATACATAGTATATGCTATACAATATAGTATATATAAGAGATGTGAATTTTACTATGTACACAAACATATCTTCTGACTATTTTAAAACTAAAATTTGATACATGGTTTTAGTTTACGTACTTTTAGGCTTTCCGAAAGTGAGTACTCAGAGGGTAATTGATTTCATAATAACTCAATCAAAGTAAGTGATTTTTAAAAATTTTATTTATTTGTTCATTTGTGTGTGTGTGTGTGTGTGTGTGTGTGTGGCCAGTTCAGCCCACCAGGGGGGGCAGGGCTGGCTGGCATGTGGTGCTGAGGGATTGAACCGTGGTCCCTGTGCTTTGCTAAGCTTGTTCTAAGTAGGTGCTTTAGACCACTGAGACATCTCACCAGCCCTAAGTGATTTTTGAAGAGAATAAAATTATGTGAATCAGAGCACTATGATGTAAATATTCAAGCAAATTCATTCAAGCAAAAAAATATATATATAGCAAATAACACAACTGATATTTCCAGAACCCAGTTCCATAATTTCTCAGAGCAAATCAATTGGCCCAGATTACTGATTTAAGCATTATAAATTATTAAAATTTCAGCAAAAGCTAATTCTGGCTTTATAGTTCCACAAGAACAGAATAACCAGTGTGACTTACCATTCTTAAATACTGAAATATCTTTAACTTTTATTAATTTAGGAGAGTTTTTTGGTCCTTTTGTCTTTCACTGTAAATTTTCACTGTTAAAGAGAAGAATGTGATCTCTCATTTCTTAAAAGTTAACTATGTGTAGATGTTATGTGATACTCTTTACAGCTCTGCATATACTATTTTATTCATGCTCACAGGATGGAACAGGTGCTGTTTTATATGCTCTAATAAGAGGAAAGTCGCTCTCAAATATCTTGTTTAAGTTTACCAAACGGGAGAGTGTGGATTCAGTACAGTTTGTTTCATGTATCATATTGTTTCTTTAAAAATAGAAAATGATTACATAATTTGTCCCTCTAGCTCCTTATAGAGACTTATATATTCTGAAATTAGTCTATTAGTTCTCTTTGCTTAAGGCTGAAAACTTAAGTTACACATTTGTTATGATGTATTACCCTTCCAGCTGTCAGTGTGAGTACCTTGTTTATAATTAGAAGGAAGTATATGTAGCAAAGTTGTTAGCCTATAGTAGAACTTCTATCCTATCATTTAGTCTACTCAAATAAGTGAGCCACGTGAATTACTAATCTTCTTTGCATTTGTATGAACTGCATAATTTATCAATGCTTCGTTTCTGCTTGTAGGGATGACTTGTCAAGCTCGAACATCATATACTGAGGATGAAGTTCTTTGGGGTCACCGATTTTTCCCTGTAATTTCTTTAGAAGAAGGATTCTTCAAAGTTGATTACTCTCAGTTCCATGCAACATTTGAAGTCCCTACTCCACCTTACAGCGTGAAAGAGCAAGAAGAAATGCTGCTCATGTCTTCCCCTTTAATAGCTCCAGCCATAACTAACAGCAAAGAAAGGCATAATTCAGTGGAGTGCTTAGATGGGCTCGATGACATTAGTACAAAACTTCCATCAAAGCTGCAGAAAATTACTGGAAGAGAAGACTTTCCAAAAAAACTCTTAAGGATGAGTTCTACAACTTCAGAAAAAGCCTACAGCTTGGGAGATTTGCCCATGAAACTTCAACGAATAAGTTCAGTTCCTGGAAACTCAGAAGAAAAACTGGTATCAAAAACCACCAAGATGTTATCTGATCCCATGAGTCAGTCTGTGGCTGATTTGCCACCAAAGCTTCAAAAGATGGCTGGAGGAGCAGCCAGGATGGAAGGAAATCTTCCAGCCAAATTAAGAAAAATGAATTCTGATCGCTTCACATAACAAAACACCCCCTTAGGCATTATTTAATGTTTTGATTTAGGCATAGTCCAATATTTGGCTGACGAGATAATCCTCCCTAAGAAATTTGAAAGGTTCATTTTACCCCAGTTCAATAAACATATTTGAGAACTCTCCATTCCCAAGAACAGCAACTGTGCAGAGAACAAAGTTATGAAGGGAGGACATCATGAGGAAGTTATTAATGGGCATGTATTATCACATCAAGCATGCAATAATGTGCAAATTTTGCATTTAGTTTTATGGCATGATTTATATATGACATATTTATATTGTACATTCTGGAAAAATATATATAAATATATATTTAAAGAGGAGGTACTCTCCCCATCATTTCTAAAATATGTATTAAGCCAAACATGAGTGGATAGCTTTCAGGGTGAAAAATTACACACACACACACACACACACACACACACACACACACATATTTATATATACATACACATACATATATATCTGATACAATTGTGATGTTTTGTTCAAAGCTGTAGTTCTTGTGCATGTTTACTTTATTAGAGTAGAAAGGCTACTGACATTAATTATTAATACCAAATATTTTAGCCTTAAATTATTTGTCATTTAAAACTCTCATTTGATGTTTTTGCTGTTTAAGGTCATAGGAGGTTTTCAATTGTACTTTATCATGAGAAAGTCATGCAAGTTTATACTATTTATGGCCTTCCAAAAGTATAATCATATGGTTAACTTGTTAATTTTTGAGCATTCCAATACATGATATATCATTAAAATTTTCCATGATTTTTAAAAATTGCTAGTACTGGGGGGAAATAAATGTTGATTAATTTGAGAATTTGTGCGCTCCTGGGCTAATTAAAATCTCTAGAACTTCTCTTGAATGACCTAATATAAATGTGTGCTCTGAAAAAATGCTCAATTATTCTAACAGTAACCAGGTTATATTTGAATATATCAGAATCTACAAAATTGCATAGTTAATGAGCTCTATTTCAAACTAATTCAATTGGAAACATATTTATTCTTCTGGTACTTTTGTTCGTTAAAATAAACCCAAAATTTATGTTTAAGGAGACATGATAATACTACAACATAGATGATAAATACTTATGCTTAAAATATGTATGTCTATTTGAGTCTCTTTTTTATGCTGTTCTCTTGTTTATGGCATTTGTTGTGAGAGGATAGACTTTTTCTTCAACTGGAAATCCCATCCCAGGCATGTCACTTACAGTTAAGAAGGAGTGTTTTAACAGACCTGGAGAAATTAAAATGAAATGGGTTGAAAATATATTACACAATTTTTTGTGAATATTGATTTTATTGGTGTTTGGATCTATAGTTTACTCAGATAATTTTAGCAACATTATTTTTCTAAGCCAATTATCTAATAATATTCACAACTCGTTAGTAGAAATCAAAGCTGTTGATCAGTAGAAAAAGCTTTGGAATACAGAGACGCTTATAAAGTTGTAGAAGAGCTTCTCATCAATATACTATAACTTTTTCTATAAAGCTTCTTCAGGCATTGCAATGTAAGTATACCCACAATCAATCCAGTTCTCATTGATATAAAAATCACTAATGGCTGGTTTGAGGTACCATCATTTCCTATTTATAGCTACCTAATAATAATTTTATTATTGGCAAATTATTACATCGACAATTCCATTATTAACTACAATAATATCTTCTGGCTACCTCTGTATCAACCAAATTCTGTAGGTGCAAACATATACCAGGGAATCATTACTGGCAAAATGATCAGTTTTTAGCATTCATCCACTGCAAACAGAGTGCTTGTCCCATCCCTTCGTCACCAAGTTTTCTTATTTCCTGGATATAGGAATGCAATAGAATTAGAAAAAGGGACAAAGGGCATAGTGTATGTATTAGCAGTGGTAGAAACTGCATAGATCATTTAGTCCAACACCTTAAAACTAAACAGAGCCATAATTCACTTTGGAGAGTCATTGTAATTTGTTTTTGGTACAAAAAGGAAGAACCAAAAACAAACTCTCTGAATGTATTCATTCATTCAACAATATCTTTGCATGCCTTCTATGTCCTAAGCATTGTTTAGTTCCTGGAGATTTGAGCACGGCTATTTCTTAGGAGGAAATTCTTCATGAACAGTGCATGCCAGTAGGAGAGTAAAGTTAAATGAAAAGACAGGGACATAGTGGAAAATATAGAATAAGAGTTAATTATTTTGGAAGAAGTGACTAGCTTAGGGAGGTGGGTAATATTTGAACAGAGACATGAAAATGAGAAAGAGCTACTGTTGCCCAAATTAATTAATGCAAGTGAATGATATTATTTTTCTTTTTCCACGCGTGTGGGAAAGGTATGATTTCTGCATGTAATTGCAGTTTAACCCCTATTTCAAAGTTTCAGTCTGCCCAGGAAAATTCCAGTTTATATTTGTTGTACTTGTGTAATTAGTAGCAATCCTTTCACTATTACAATGTCTTGGTTTGGATGATATATGGTAAAGTTTATGTTCAAACTCAATTATGAAGTATGATATATTTGGATAAAAATAAAGAATTTCTTTTCTTCTTCTTTTGCTTATTTTTTTTGACACAGATAATTCCAGGCTAAGTCATCTGTTACATATATTTTAGCCTGAAGGACTTCCTATTGAAGTGATTTCATGTAAGATGTTTAGTGCGTATATGACATGTCTCAGCAGTGAAAAGTTATACATTTTATTGAATGAGTAAAAAATAAGCTTCAGTATTTCCCTTTCAGGAAGTTGTAAGAGCTTACATCACAAACAGTAAAAGTCAATTTCAGTCAAGATAATTTTTAGTCCACCAATGTTATGGCTCACAAGCAAGAAACTTAATGTACTCATTGAACTGCATAACTCTACTCAACAACTGGAAAATAGACCCTTTTTATAATATTTTCATGAGATAGCTCTTGTTACAGTAAAATATTTCATTCTATTTATCAAAATGTAAATAAAAGAAATATAATTATTTTGATAATGCTTATCTTCAATTCAAATATTTATTCTTTTCAGCAATATGTGAGTATACTTTGTAAATATATACCAAATGAAAAATATGAATATTTTATCATTAATTATTTCTGACAAAAATTCTTATGCTGTTTGAAATTCATTTACCTATACATTTAAATACAATGAAAATAATTCAGTTGTCTCAATATTTGAAAACCTTTTTTTGTCTTGACAAGATGAATTCACATAATATATTACTGCAACTGGCAAAAGACTGAGGTCATGGAGAAATTGACTTACATTTTATGTGTAGTTTGAATCCTTCTGCCAATCCTTACTATGAAAAGGGTTTAGCGTGATGGCATAGAATGTCTATGAACTTCACTTCAGAATGTATGCTTGAATTACATTGTACATATTCAAATTAGTACCAAGCTAATTGTACTTTTTGGCATGCAATATATAATTATTTAAATGTACAAGATTATTTAAGGTACAAAATATAAACTCATATTCAGTACTGCAAGTTCAGTTTTATAAAATCTATATTAAACTTTTGAAACATGATTGGGTTTAATTTTTGCAGTGTGCTTATCATTTTTCCACTTTTCTAAAGTTAATTATCCATATTCCTTGCTTCCTTTCATTTATCCTATGACAATGAACTAGTAAAAGAGGATGATCCAATGCACTACAAGTTATTCTTTGAGAATTACTTTCATTTTTGCTTCTCATTGCTGAGATACTTCATTCAGCAAGATGAAATCAGAACTTACTAATTCTGATTACCCGAGAATTGCATTTCTTGAAAGAATCTCTATAAGCATCTAACCCTTCATGAACCAGTATTTTAGAAGCCATTTCTGATTTTGTTTAAATATGTAGTCATCTTTTACTAAGGTATTCAGTTGGCTCACTGGACAGGGTTTTACATACAGAAATGTGTTATCAGTCTTGGAACAGATTAGTTCTTGAAATATGTAATTTACCACCAAGGTGCTAACAGAATTAATTCACAATGCTAACTAGCTATAGCATGTAACTTAGGTTCAGAGATAATGGTCCTCATCACTAAGTGGAACTGTTGGCTTTTTATTCCAAATTTGGATTTTTTTTAACCTGTAAATTCATAAACTCATGGCTATTTCACCGTGTCACCAAGGATATAGTTTAGTTGCATAAGCACCTGTCTGGCAAGTGTAAGGTCCCAAGTTTGATCCCCAGTATAAAAAAAGAGCTACATTGTTAATGACTAGTGCATGATAAAGAGAACAAGTATGTTAGAACCTTACTCCTATAAAGAATCACATCTGTGCTCCAGTTTATCATTTTCTACTGTCAGTCTACTTGAATGGCAAATCATCCTCCTTTTACAGGTGAAGATATTATTTCAGAGAGGCTCCTTACTAGGTTTTTAAATTAAATTCACAAATAAGGTATAGTCTACACTCCTATAAAGTCTATTGAAAATCTTTTCGAAAAACAATTTACTATCCCACATAATTTGGATTCTTGAGAATAAATATTTAGTGACTGTGTGCAGTGTTTCAAACTGTAGGATGTCTTGTGCAATAAGATTCGCATCTCTCCTCGTGTCATTGGAGGTCTGGAGGGCGGAAGGCACTAGGAATATGAGCACATGTGCTAAGAACTGTGTGATGCTTGATGGGTTAGGAAAGTAAGTAGAAGATTAAGGTGATCTACAAGAAGGTAGAATCGTTGGCCCATAGAGACCTCCATAAATAGCAAGAAGGTTAAAAAAAAACTCTAAAATGCAGAAAGTCAGTAGATACTTAAAGAGATTATAAAATATTTCAAATAAGGCAGAAAATTTTCTCATTTCTATGTATGTCAGATCCAGAGGTAAAAAAAAATGATACATGATACTTAGGCATACCTGCTTTGTATAAATTTAATAATATAAAGTATGATAGAACTAGCTGAAACAGCTACCGGGGTTTTCCTAACTCTACACTATTCCATTTCTCTTCCTTTCTCTAGAAAAATCATCACTATCTGGAAATTTATAATATGCTTCCCATATTATTGCTGTATATGTGTGTACATATATATGTAGATATATATTACATATATACATGATACCTAATATATACATATATATATATATATATATATATATTGATAGACAAATATGTGCTTAATGTAAATATAAGTTCATAGACTCCTAATCACAGCTTTGCTTGGAGTTTTTCAGCCCTTTTTTAGATCATGCATTTTCTTTATTTTGCCATCTTTTTTAAAAAATGTATTTGGTATGGGTCTCATTATGTAGCTTGGACTTGTAGTGATCCTCCTGTTCTCAGCCTCCCCAGCGCTGGGATTATGGGCATGCGCCACCGCACCTGGACCCATTCACACAGTGTGCCTAGGGGACAGGGCCAGCATGGCATGCAGGACCAGGGATCAAACCCTGGACTCTGCACTTGCCAAATTGGTGCTTAGTCCACTGAGCTATCTCGATGGCCCTATTTCTCCATCTTATACATTTCCTGTCTTTTATTTTAGCAACCTTAAAATTAAACCTTATATATGTGACCTATTGAAATTCAAATTTCATTAATGTTTTCTATTCTTTTAAGCAAAATAAAGATGTAAGAACAAGTTAAGTTCAGCCATATACTCTTTCTCCCCCTTTTATGAGTTTTTGGTTTTATTTCATTTCAGTAGTACTAGGGATCGAACTCAGGGTCTATGCACTGAGCTACATCCAAGTATTTATTTATTTACAGAGTCTTATTAAGTTACAGTGTCTCCTGGCTGGCCTTAAATCTGTGACCCTCCTATCTTAGTCTCCCAGTGCTGCAATTATAGGTATGCACCACCATGGCTACATTTTCTGTTATGTTTGTACAGTGGTACACTTTTTCAAAATGTTTTAATAAAAATTATTTGTGATCTTTTTAAACTAATATGTTTTCATTGGTCTTTATATGTTTTTGGATTCCTGTATGTTCACTGGAGCCTCATGTTTCTCAGTCCTGTATTCTCTTTTCTTTTGTAATTACATCTGTCTTTTAATCATCCATTTGGTGAACAACTATGATGGAAAATATCTGTGGCTAACCATTGCCTTACACTTGCTTTCTGGCCTGTATTTTCAGTGAGAGCCCTATTATATATTAAATATTGGGAGAGTGTCTTAGTTACTTTTCTCTAATTGCCAGGACAAAATATCAAACATCCAAAATTAAAGAAGGAAAGTTTTATTTAACTCACAGTTAGTGAAGGTTTCAGTCCATACTCAGTTGGCTCCAAGGAAAAGGGGCACATGGCAGAGGGCAGCAGCTCACGGTGGCAGAAAACAGCAGAGCCAAGGGAGAAGACATGGCAGCAGTGGTAGAGGCAAGCTTTTCTCCTTTCCTTATATTGCTTTTAGGCTGTCTTCCCCAAGGTGGGGGCAGCACTTCCACCCATAATCCCAGCAGTACTCACACCCATAACCTCAGCTTTGGGTAATGAATTAATCACAACTCTAGAACCATGCCCCAATGACTGCATGAGACTTTGGGGGGACAACTATGTAAAAACCATAACAGAGAGATATTTTTATATTTTTCTTAATCTGATTATTTGGTTTTACTATGGTTTCATTGTTCAGAAGACAAATAACAAAAGTTCCTGAATTTAGAATACCTTCGAGGAGAAGGTAAACATGCATAACTGCATAATACTTAACTTCAGGTTTTAACTTTTCCTAGGATATCTTATGCCTATCCATACACAGCTAAAGTTCCTTGTCACTAGTCCATGATGAAGATTTTGGTCCCTAATAGTCTGGACAAGATGATAAAGGGATACAATAGCTGATTCCTGTTTTACAGGGTGTAAGGCTGAACTGGATACTAATATATTAGTTCTCTAAATTAGGCCCTCCCTGTTTCTAAGACCAATCCTCTTGGAGACACACACACACACACACACACACACACACACACACTTTATATATTATTTTCCTTTTGAATTTCAAAGATGTTATTCCACATGTAATCATGCATACTTCTGTATATGTGTACAAAATTATGTATATATGCATAAATATATCTATAGTGGAAAGTGTACATGCCTTCACTGTATGAATACATAGTATCACTATAGAAAATGATAGACAATAGATTAAAGGTTCAAAGATTTCATATATGATTATTAAAATAAACTAGTCTCTATTCTACTACTTTTTCCTTGTATTCTTCTCATGCACCAAATATTCTTCTGAGTAATTCTATCATGATTTAAATGTAAATTTCTAAGTTTTTTTTGCTTCTTCTTGATACTCCAGAAAAATACAGAGATGACAAATAAAAGACGAACTGTGGAAATATTGTGACTTTCTTTTATGTCAATTTAGTTCATTTCATGTCATTTATTGTCCAAGACTCATAACTTTACTAGGTTTAATTTTCAAAATTAGTTTTGTTTGCTAAATGTTTATTTTTAAAATAGTTCTCTTCTTGTTTCATTAATGCATGTTTTTATCTCCTAAGTTATGTATACTAGTGGAGTCAGGGAGATAGCTCAGCAGGCTCAGTGTCTGCATGGCCAACACAAGGACCTGGGTTTGATCCCTGGTACCAC